AATCTCCATCTCTGGAGATATTTAAGAGTAGGTTAGATAAATGTCTATCAGGGATGGTCTAGACAGTATTTGGTCCTGCCATGCGGGCAGGGGACTGGACTCGATGACCTCTCGAGGTCCCTTCCAGTCCTAGAATCTATGAATCTAGCAATGACTGAAGGGAAACGAGGATATAGATCTAAGGCTGCTGGTGAAGACTTTTACAGCTTTCTTACTTCTTGACTTCTATGTTTTTTAGAAGTCCTCATGTTTTCAACTTATACATTTTTACACCTGTAGGCCATCTTAACAAAAGCCTGGTAAATAAGTGATTACAGCTCTAAACCAGAATTATTTTGGTTCAAGTATGAAAAGCACCAGACAAAACAGGTCCAACAGGGCTGGGGGAAATCCTCGTAAGAGCATGCTCACTTGTAAAGCGTGGAGGTCAACATTTAAAGAGTGACCCACTAATACCGCATCATGGGGAAGCAATTTCTTTAGTTTGTCCTGAATCTCTGGCAGTTTTGTTTTCACTGGAAGAAGAATCTTTCTTGTGATTCCTGAGTATCTTCAAAACAAAAATGGCAAATATAAACCAACATATTAGCAACTTCATTTACTAGAGATTATTTCAAGTAAGACACATAAAATACATAGATTACAACGTGACCATATCAGATTTATAACTGTGGCTTCCTGTATAAATTATTCTAGTGTGATGAGGACATAGCACAGGGGGATTTATTAAACTGGTAAAGAAACAGGTTTTGGGGCCTGTTGGGTGAAGGAAGGCTGCTGAAAGTAGGAGAAGGAATTTTCCAGATGTGCAAAAGCGTGAAATTAGGCCCAGTCTTAAAATTTTGGGGATGAAATGTAGCTTGAATTTTGCCTGGTTTCATTATGAAAGTTCTACGCAGCTCAGCTCTTGGTACCTCTGAAAGTTAGTGAAATAATATACTCATTTTATAGAGCACAGGCCTGGATTGCTATCTCATGCTCTACCATGTCTTCTATAACTAGCAGTAAAAGAGTAACCTGTACTGGATAGTAAAAGAGTAACCTGTGCTGAATCATTAACCTGTAATCCAGGCTTTTCTTGGAACAGTGCAGAAAGCTAAGTGCATCAGACATTCTTGAAAGGCCACAGGGACCAGACTCAGTCTGACTGGCTCTCACTTTTACAGGAGAGGCACGGAGGAAGTTTATATACCGGATACCTGGTGAGGTAGTTCAGTATCTGAGTTTCAGGTTTTATAAGCTCATCCATGATGCACTGACCCTCTGCATCCACCACTGAGACTCGAGTTACTTCATTCCCCTTCTCAGTGAGGCACTAGCAGAAATAAAAAGAAAAAAGCCAGATCAGAAATCAGCACTGGGCTTATTGCCAATCAGTTGTCTCAAGAATACCAGCAGATTAAAATCTGCTTTGATTGCAATAATTGCTATCACCACTAAAAAAGTTACTAACCTGGAAGATTTACCATCTATTACACCTCTACCTCGATATAACGCTGTCCTTGGGAGCCAAAAATATCTTACTGCGTTATAGGTGAAACCGTGTTATATTGAACTTGCTTTGATCCACTGGAGTGCGCAACCCCGCCTCCCCAGAGCACTGCTTTACCACGTTATATCCAAATTCATCTTATATCGGGTGGCGTTATATCGAGGTAGCGGTGTACTCGTTTTCAATAGTGCAGACGGTTCTGATTAATCTTTGACGCCCAATACAAATGTAGCAGGTGCACATGAAATTGTAACATGCAGTTAATCTTTAAGAGGAAGAATTGATCACAGAATAACTTCATACTTTACATCCAGAGTGCCACAACTGATTGAATTTTGCAACTGCTCTGCCAAGAAGTGCTAAAGCAAGAGATGGGCCCACCTATTTAAAAAGGGTGCAGGTGATGCCAAAACAAGGCTCTTCTTCAAGGACCAAAGTGCATGAAGGGGCAATCCTTAGCGCAGCACAGAGCCTGAACAACTGTGTTGGCGTTGGGGAAATGCATAAGGAGAAGAAATCCTCCCACTTCCCCATCTCTAGTGTGCAAAGGCTGCAACAGCCCTCATGATCCTCCTCATGTCCATTCTGCAGAGAGAGGGACAGTCTGCATAGCAGTGGATCTGCCCGTCCTGCCTCCTGCATGGTATGTGGGGAACCACTGTGGAGCTGAGTGTTATGGTGGGAGCATTAATGCATACGTCTTGGCTATGCTGCATTTTTTTTGAGAACTCTCTCACTGGGGAGGCTGCCCTCGTGCTACTGACAGAAGAATTGCTGGTGCAGATGGTGTCTTTACAACTGTCTTTTTTGGTAGAAATGCTCTAGAACACGCAGAGGATGGCTGGCTTTATTTTTGGAGCCAGCAGAGATTGTACAACTAATTTCTTATCATTCTTTAGACAAAAAGTATTTTTATACCATTTCACAATCCAGCCCAAAGAGGGGGCTGCTGTCTGTCCTCGGGCTCTCGCATTGTGTGTGGACATAATTCTCACACCCAGGGGATCCTAGAAAGAAAAATAAGAGATCTGAGAAGAAGAAGAAGAAATCTGTCTCATGTAACTCATCAGGTATAGATGAGGAGAATGAAAGCCTGAGATGACTTTGCTAAAGAGCCTGCACTCCTTGTGCAACTAAAACTCCCAGTGAAAACCAATGGGATTTATTTAAATGTATTAGGCTGGGATTTTTACCAAAATGTATATGGCCTGACCTTCTAAAGGATAATCGTATTTTCTCATCTCTTCCAAGGTTAGAATATAGCTGGTCAGACCATGCTTTTCCTTGCCGTATTTCTCAATGATCGGGTCTTTTTGCAGGTCTGAGTTCTTAGAAATACGTCCACTAGAGGCAGAAGCTGAACCTATAATAAGAAATTACACTTTTAAAAGCTGCCAACAAGTTCATACAGTATTTCTTAAGAGTGGATAAACGACTGTACTTAACATGCACACTATCGCATTTCACTTTGAGTGGTGGCAGAGTTGACTAGTGGACAGAGCAATGGACTGGACTCAGATGACCTGGGTTCTAGTCATGGCTCTGCCACTGACTTGCTAGGTAACCTTAGGCAAGTCGCTTCATCTATCTCTGCATCAGTTTACCATCTCTAACATAGGAATAATGATACTGCCCTGCTTTGATACATGCTAAGTATTATAATTATTTAAAATTTCATCTTATCTGTTGTTGCTATTAACTCCTCAAAGCAAGCAGAAAGAGAGATCTTTCCACTAAGTCGGTGGTGCTCAAACTGTTTCAGTTGCCCTTGCTCCTCCATTAGTGCACAGCCAAGGCTTCCTCAGCAGTGGAGCTTGTGCTGAAGGCGGAGCTGGGACTAGAGATAGAGAAGGAATGAGGGCGGAGCCAGGCAAGGGGTAGAGTGGAGCTGCAACTGGGACCGGAGCTGGTCTGGGGGTGGAGAAGGAGTGAGGGCAGAGCAGGACTGGGAGGATGAACAGGTTTTGGGGAGGACTGAGGCTGGAAGCGTGGTGGTCCCTTCCCACCCCTGAGGGGGCTGGCCCTGTCCCTGTCACCTCTACCCTTTCCCCCAAAGTTCCTCTGCACCCCAGTTTGGGGATCACTCCACTAGGTGATACTAAGGATATGTGTTACACTAGGAAAATACAAGTTCTAGCAAAGGTGTTCGTTACAGTGTTTATTGAACTATCCAAGTTATTTTTTAACCATTGTCATAGTACGTGACAAACAGAATGGATTTTATCCACACAATCCACCTGGGAAATAAGGCAGTATTTGCCCCCTTTTAAAGGGGAATGGAGGCACAGGGTAGGTTAAATGACTTGCCCAAGGTCACAGAGGAAGCCTGTAAATTAGGAACTGAACCTAGGCCTCCTGACACCCCGTCCAGTCCCCAGATCACCAGACTAAACAAGCCTTTCTACTGTTATGTTTGAAGTCACATAAAGAAGCATAACTTCAGGAAAAACTTATCTGAAACTCCAATCTGTGACTGTAGCTTATTGTCCAGATTTTAGAAAACTTTATCTATGAATACATTACAAAGTAAAACTTGCTAATTCATCCGTTCAGGGCCCGATTCAGTATCCTTTGCACTGAGAATTTCCACTGACTTTAGGTGGAGTTTTGAGTGTGCAAAGAGTGTAAGACCGATCCCTAAAATTACAGTTAGGATCACAAGGAATATAAATAATGAGAAGCCAGCTGTCACCACACTGTAGTTTACCTAGTTCACTGTTCAGCATAACAAAGAATTATTATTGAGACTAATGCAGAAGTCAAGAAATTAATACCTAACAAGCCTGAATCTATTTCAGAGATCTTTCTCTTATAAAATACATTTTAGAATGATAGTGTAAATACTTACAACAGCTTCATAAGAGAACAATTTGCAGCTTTAATATCCCTTTTACAATTTTGTTGTTGTAAACTTCCTTCACATTTACTTTTGGTAATAAGCAAAACAGACTAATAGAAATTAGCTAGGGATATTTATTTCAGAGTTAAACCAGTGATTAGTTGTATCTTGTAATCCTGCATAAACTATATTTAGTTTAAAATTGATTGCATAGGATACAAACAGATTCAAAACATCCTCTGAAATGGGTAAACAATTTTTGTTGAAACTGACAGTGCAAAGCGAGGTACCGTGTATGCTGTTCTGATGTTTCATACTTATTCCTTCTCCACACACACTAGCTATAAAATTAGCTGAAGTAGGCGGTAAACTGAATCTCTGTTATCGAACAAAAAAGAAAACATGTTAAAGGACTTTGCTGCACAAACAAAAGTAAAATATTTCAAAATTAAATTAACAAGTAAGGAACAGTACTCTTACTACTATGGAAATTCTGACACTTTATCTTTCCCCATGCCAAATTTGCCACTAGTGTAATTCCACTGAGGTCAAAGAAGGGTAAGTATACAAGACTAACTTAAGTTAGAGACAGAGGTGTCCTCAGTGGTTCAGTGCAATTTTTTGTGTTTAAGTGAGTATGATTTGCAACTAACTTCTTGAGAAACTGCTCATGACATGTTTCAGAGGGGTAGCCGTGTTAGTCCATGTGGCACCTTAGAGAAATGTGTTAGTCTCTAAGGTGCTACAAAGACTCCTTGTTGTTTTTGCTCATGACATGATGCTCTATAAATCCACAATCGGCACACCATATTCTTAAGTAAAATGCTGTTAATTGTTACAGCAGTAAGAGTTAAGGAACAAGCCGCAGTGAAAACTAAAGTGACCTTTATTAAAAAAATATAATCATAATTAGCTTTGCAGCTGCCTGGTCGTCCCTCC